TATATTGGAGTAGTACTTGTCCAGGACTCCACTGACAACCAATTGTGTTCCCTACATCATTTTGATGTACCAGGCCATTCACTGTATCTATAATGTGAATTTGTACCCCTATTTCCAATGTCCCCCATCCTATTAACTTTTCCTTTCCGGTAAACTTCTCCAAACCCTCCCTCAGTGTTCCAAAGGCAACAAAAGTTATCACAACAAAAGTAGTTAGTATTTCTTGAGTGTTCACTATGTGCTGGACAAGCAAAGTGCTTTACCTGCATTGCCTCAATTAATTCTCTTAATAACCTATGATATCAGCTCTATTATTAACCTCATTATACACATGAAAAAATAGACACTACTAGGGGTTGAATGTGCCTCCTCCAAAATTATGTTGAAACTAAGTCCCCATTTGGCAGTATTAAGAGTTGGGGCCTTTTTGGGTGACCAACCTTCATGACTGGATTAGGGGCCCATGAAAGGGCTGGAGAAAACTAACTTAGGCCCTTTTTGCCTTTCCACCTTCCAACATGTGAGGACATAGCATTTTCACCTTCTACCATGTGAGAACACAGCAAGAAGGTCCTCATCAGACACCAAACCTGCTGGTACCCTGATCTTCAACTTCTTAGCCTCAGAACTGTGAGAAATAAATGTATATTATTTGTAATTACCCCGTCTATGGTATTGTGTTATAGCAACATGAAGCCAGACAGAAAAGTTTAGTTTTCATCACTTGGCAGAGGTCACATAACAGGTTGATTTGATTCTCAAGCCCTCTTTACTATTATGCTTACTTGGCTTTTATCTCTGTAGACTTGAATTGCTGAGTTATCTTTCCCTGAGTCATTGCTGCTTCAAATCTCAGTCTTTAGGAATCACTTCTTTAATCTACTGATTAATTATGCATAGATCATAAAAGTTTATTTAATCCAACTGCTGTCTAGAGTTGGTATCACTGTCCTACTCAAAAATCTGCAACAATTTACCATGACAAATCAAGTGCAAACTCCTTAGTCTGACATTAAACAGCCTGATAATCTGATCCAATACAGCTTCCCTGCTTCTACCTATCTTATTTACCTGTTTGTTGATTCTTATTTAATTGCTTCCTTGATGGAGGACTTTCCCACTCACTCCATCACTACCTCTTGTTTCTGCCTGCACACATATTATCATTTCCCCAAGTCTTTTGATGAGCAGGATCTCCTTTTTATAACAGTTGCTCTGTTTTCTCCTCGCCAACATACCTTCCTGACATGCGATTGTAGTATAATTAGTTTCTACATTTTTTTGAAAAATCTTGTCACAATATGATTTTGGGGCTCCATAAATATTTTGTGATTTATTGATTAAGGAATTCTATTCAGTATGAATGTTGAATTCACCATTTGTTGGGAAGATGTGATCCATCTTTTCTCTATGCTTCCGTCATGACCTGGATATACTTCTATTATAGCCCTTTCTAATTCTTCACATGCATGCCTTCACTGGACTGCAGACTCCAAGACAGGGGCCATGCAGTGTTCATCTTTGTGTCTTTCCAGTTACTCCACAACAGTTTATTGAGTGAATGAAGAAAATGCTGAGAAACAAACTCAAGAGGGTTTGTAGATTTAATACCATTGCTCTGGGTATTGCAAAAAATAATGGCTATTAACGAATTAGTACCCCCCTTCCCACCACCTCCCCCTGTTGAGATAGTATGATAGAATGTGTAACCACTTAATATACCTTAAGATGCTACTAGGCAACAACAATGTCTTGACTTTAGGGGTTGGAAAACAAATAGTATGTAATGTCCAATAGATCGTGTTTGGGGCAGAGAGAGCAGATTTAAGAAACAAGGACACAATACAATGAAATTTGGCTGCAATACAAGGTTAATGTCTCCTCACCTCCCCAAGAGTACCAAGGGATCATTCATTGTCACAGCTGTTGGGGTTTAGAGGTTTCTTCTCATCCAAATGACGGTACTTTCCACAAAAAGCTCTTCCCCAGGGATGCCCTAATAAGCGAGTGTGTGCTGTATAGGTGAGACTTGCCCTGGCTGTCTCTATCCAAGTGATGACATAAGCTCATCTAAAGCCCTTCATTAATGCAAACAATGACCCAGTCCATGGTGGCACTGATTCTTGAAGCTGAAGAATTGGAGAAGGAGCCTAATTTTCCGTCACATACTGATTGTTGTTTTCAGTAAGATGTTTAGCTTTTCAATTTTCTCTCTGCCAAATACAAATTAGTGTATTTCCAACATCCTAGAGTCTTAGCTGTGCATTGCCAGCTTCCACTGCTTCTCCTTAATTAACAAACAGCTGTAGAAGAGCTTCTCAACTGATGTGGGGGGAAGAGCTCTAAGGAAGAGATGGACTATGTCCCATATCTTCAAATCCTCCACCAGCCATCTCCTGTTAGATCACCAAGACATGCCCAGTGGGGACACTTCAGTTCGATGAGAAGTTTATGACTAATTGGGTTCAGTCTCCAATCTGTATGAATGTAGTTGGGTTCAGTCTCCAATCTGTATGTATGTAGTTTCCTATCCCAGAGAGCAGAACAAGACCATATAAGCTCTATTTATGTTTCCTTTAACTCTTTAGCTGAAAGCCTGGAATGTAGGACAAGTGGCTAACCTGTGTTTTAGAACTTTCTTCCTAGGTTAACATTTTGAACTTGGCCTTCTGGATTTTACCTCTTAAACTGCACCAAAAACCATGGAAACAAAGGGCTTACAGCAGTGTTAGCCTAATCTGAGCCCTCTATACCTTCCTATACTGTAGCCACAGCAGTAAAGCTACATGATCTTCCAAAAGACCTTCCAAGAGAAGATTGATTACAGACCTTGCTTATCACACCATGAACCTGGGGAAGAAAGAAAATACTCACAAATAGTTTAGCCCCTTTCATAAATTGTTGGTCCTTCGTCCATTTTTGAACTCCACTCTTTCGGGTGGAATGTATGTGTATATGCGTGTGTGTGTGTGTGTGTGTGTGTGTGTGTGTGTGTGTGTGTGTGTTTACAAATTCAAAAAAAATGAGGAGATCTTGGTCTTCCCTAGAGGGAAGACTGCATTATAAATACAGTCTTTCTTAGCAGAGGATGAAGGCTCCTGTAGCTCCTAATCTTCCCATTTGTGCACAAATACATGAACTCTGATTAGGTTGAAAGCAGGAAGACACTCTTTTCTTGCTTAGTGGCTACATCTAGAGCTAACAACACTATCAGTGGGATGGTGATTCATGCTTTAATACATACCCTCTCCATTCCAGCTACTCAGGAAGCTGCGGTAAAAGGATCACTTGAGCCCAGAGTTTAAGGCTGTAGTGTGCCATGATAACACAGGTAAATAGCCACTGTACTCTAGCCTGAGCAACATAGTTTTAGACCCTATTTCTTAAAAACAAAACAAAAACATCCCCCTCCTCTTCTCCTCCTCCAGCAATTCTGGATGGTTCATCTAATAAAGTACATATACTTTATACTAATATAGTCAAATGTCATGACACTATAAGATTATTATTATTCTCCAATCCCTGCCCTGCAACTTATTTGGCTGAACATTTTTGGCTGCAATATTTTTGACTGAAGAAAATGAGGTTTCTTCCTCCTTGAGCCTGGGAACTAACATGAGGTGTTTTCTTCCACTTGGTGGAGCTGTACACATGTGTGCTTGTGGAGAAAAAGAAGAGTCCCAGCAGGCCCTCTACTCCAGCTGTTCGAGATTGAGCTTTCCAGTGCATTATCCTGCCTTAATGCAGTGATGCCTTCCCCCTGATGGCAGTAAAATTTTAATTAGTGGGCAATGTGCATTCCTACATAATGGAGTGCACACGTGGCAGGAAGTTAACAGGACACATTTGCAGTTCCAGTTTCATTGTCAACCAGCTGTGTGATTCCTGGCAATTTGCTTTATTTTGTTGTGTCACAGTTCTTGACTAGGTAAACTGGGGAATCATCTCTGGTCTACTTTCCTCTTCAGTTTGGTGGAAGTTTCACATAAAATTACATGTGAAAGTCCTTGGGAATTGAAACAATGGTAAATCCATAGCAGAATGCTTGTTGAATTCTATCAGCTTTCCCAAGGTGCAGGCTGCCCATGTTTAGTCTTTCTCACTTTCCAATCCATTTTCCACATTGCAGCCAGCATAGTTTTTCTCATTGCAAATCTGATCATATCAACGTCTTTTTTTAAAAAAATCCTAAATATCTTCTCCCTCCCACAGAATAAAAATCACAATTCCTTAAGAAGCTCTCAAAGCCTTCCCAATCTGTGCCTTTCATCTCTGACCACTGGTATCTTTCTTCTGTTAGGATAACAGTTCATTGAATGTTCAAGTCTTCTCTTTTGCTTTTCAGAGCTTGGCCATGTGGTTTTCTCTGTCTGAAACAAGCTTCCCCCATTCCTTTCTAGGCTAACTCCTACTCATCCTGCAAATTTCAGCATAAAGTCACTTACAGTGGGAATGCGTCCATGGCCCTCTATTAGCAGCCTCTGATTTATGCTCCCACAATAGTCGGTTCTGCCTCTGGATCATGTTTTATCCTATTGTTTTTCCTCCATAAGAGCACAGTCATCATCCATATAACTCAACGTTGTAACTCTGGCAGCTAGCACAATCTCAAGTTCACAAAAAGAGCTCAAGAAATATTTGTTGAATGACCAATTAGATGGCATACTCATTTCCTAGGGTTTCTATAACTAATGCTAGCCTGGTGCCTTAGAACAACAGAAATTTATCCTGTCGTACTTCTAGAGGCTGGGGGTCTGAAATCAAGGTTTTGACAGGGCTGTGCTTCCTCTCAGATTCTATACAGAATCTTCCCTTGCTTTGGTGACCATCAGTCCTTGGCATACCGTGGCTTGCAGCTACATCACTCTAATCTCTGCCTTCGTTGTCACATGGCATTCCCCCTGCATGTCTCTATTTGCACATGACATTTTCCTCTTATAAGGACACCAATCATATTGGATTAGAGCCCATCCTAATGGCCTCATCTTAACTTGATTACATCTGCAAAGACTCTATTTCCAAATAATGCTACATTCACAGATACTGGAGGTTAGGACTTTAACATATCTTTTGGGGGAGGACACAGTTCAATAACAGATTGCTAAACCAATTAACTAATTACTAATTAATATAAACTATGGGTGGAAAAAGCTTCCCCAGAATATGATAAAAAGCTGTGTCGATCTAATCAATGTGCTTGCTTAAATAAGCCATGTGTATAATACATATGCATGCATCTGTGTATATATACATATGTACACATGCATTAATTATACTGCGCAAAAACCTCAAAGGCTATTTATCCCAAATAGGAAATATCGTGTGGTTTGTCTAAAGCACTTTAAAGACATCTGCCTTTTTCAGATGTAAATTTCTTTGATGACAAGAAATTACGTCTTTGCTAGCTTTTAAAATACTAAATTATGATAATCCATCACCAAATAAACTCTGTGCTTCTATCATTTAAAAAAATGTAAGAACTCTGAGTTTAGTAGTAGTTTTTAGTTGCCATTGAAAGATGGCAATTTAACATCACCGTTTATTCAGATTTCCAAATTAAGGAGATCTCTGTGGTTAGACATTCCTTTCTTTATCAGTCTCCTTTTCTTCAGGCCTGCCATTTGTCCATTGGTATCTTTTCCTTCCAAATGATTCACATACACACTAGGTCTTTTCCCTAAGCCTCAGATTATGAAGCAAAACTACATGAAAAAAAGCAAATGATTGCTAAATTATGTCCTAATTTCTAGCATTCAGCAGTGCTAAAATCAAGCAGAGAATTTCACAAAATTCTCAGATAAAGTATATTTTTTACCAACTAACGTTGGGTAAAAGGGACTGAGATAGAGATTTATTTTTATTATTATTAACAACTTTGAAAGTGGTGCATTTGGGAAACTATTTACTAATGTTCATTGGAATTGGTGGTAATACTGAGGTCAGGATTTAATTCCAGGCATTACCCAAAAAGTCCATGTTTGCCTTGTTTCAAGCCTAGAGTTGCTAAAACAATGCCTTCAGGGAGCCAGGCATAAATTATCTTTCAGATTGGTGGGCGTAGGAATCTATACTGCAAGCTAACTATGCTGAAACAGACATCTTAGAGAATGTGAATGTCTATCTCAGACAAAGGAGATTACAGGTTATTAATCAAGGCACTTTTCAAATCTCATCCCTTTGGGTCTTCTTAGAGTTTCAGATTCATTTAGCCAAATACCAGCCTTATCCCTTCCCTAATTTTCCTAAATATTTGTGGCTGAATGTACTTCTAGCTTTAGGAGTGCAGAAGACTTTGAGGGAGAGAAGGCAGGGTTGAAAAAGGATGAGTTTCAGGTCATCGCATTGCTTCAAGGCAGTTTGCAGCTTGCATTCATATTTTTAAAGTCTAAATTAGAGCCCTTTAACACCAACTATCTTGGGCACACATGTGTTTGTAGAGGCATACCACCATATGGCAAAAGGCAGAGTTGCTAAAACCATAAATAACAGAGAGGAAGGTTAATTAGCAAATTAATTAACTGAATTCCATACAAGGTACTAACAATACCTTAATTTCTAGATACATTTGTTATCAAAAATGTCTACCTTAATAAAGCTGTGGGGACTTACTAAGTGTATTTACTGGGCATGGTTCCCAGTTATGAAATATTAATACCTTGAAAAATAAAACATGCTTACGAAAATGCAGTTATGCTCTCATTTTCAGAGGAATACGTAAGTGAGGAATAAATACAGAAATCCTTAAACAACTAGAAATTGGGACTAAAATGAAGTAGACCATAGTTTTGTTATTGCATGTTCTGTTCATACGAAAGCACCTATCATCCCACTTTACCATCTTTCAACTGCAGGGCAGAGAGTTATATTTTTCATCTTCATACTGAGTAGAGAATCCATGAAAATCTAATACCCAGTTACCAGTCAAGTATAATGAATATAAAGGAGCCTCAGAATAAAATTTTCAGTTCTACCAAATGTCTCTGCCTAAGTACATCAATATCCATGCTGGTGATTGTACAAACCTGTGGCTAATTATATTTTCACTTTTTCTAAGGGTAGGTACACTAATAGGTGATCCCACAGAAAAGGGCATGAAAATAAATTAAAGGTGTGTGCCATGTATATTCATGCTTTTGTGGTTATCATTGCTATTGTCTTATTCCCATGGATATTGGAGGATCGTTGATAAGGCACTTAAATGTTGATAAGGCACCTAATGAGTATCCTGTGTGATCAGAATAGTATACAATGATAATCGTTTCCTTCTTTGTGCATTAGTATTGACATAGCCACTAATCAGGAACTGTGAACTCTCTACACTTGTATCTGCAGCCCTCTTATTAAAAAGACTTCTGGATTTTTTTTTCCCTAAGCTAGAAACAGACAGGCAAACAAAAACAATGATTAAAGGGCACAAAAATATATATTTAAAGGCAGAGTTTTTTTCCTATGTGTATAAGATTCAAATTAAATTCCTCTTTTTGGCTTTTTGGATGGTTTTGGTAATTGGGCTGAAGTCACTATGTTTTTGTCATAACAGGTCAAGAATTGCTTACTCATGTTTGAGAAACAATAATGATATGGCAAGAGAGAGGTAAGGGACTACAATGGGAGGCTTATTAGGAACTGTGCATGCCTCTTTCATGTGTGTTGTCTCCGAGCTAACCTTGTGAGGTATGAATTATGACTCCTTCCTGAAGGAGAAAAGCAAGTTTTAGATTAAGTGCCTGACATTCTGATGTCATAAAAAGACTGAAATAAGCAACATTTTAGCACAACATTTGAACAGCCCTTTTCCTAAGGATAAGCTCTTCGCTCTACACCATACTAATTTCCAAAAAGGTGTGAGATTGACATATGAAACTTGTACCTTTATATAAATGTGAATGCAGCAAGCCAGAGAACAGAACGTTCTGTAGCCCAGGCAAGAGGCAGAGGAAACACCCAGTGACAGATCTACTGTGGCCCTCGACTGAAGGGGTGCTGTAACTTTGAAATACTAATAAATATTTAGCTTGGCTTTTTGTTTCATATTTGCTAAGTCCTGTCTTGATTCTCTGGCTAAGGGGTGTAAAAAAGTGGCTGTTTGTGATAAATGGTTGTGTTTGTGTGTGAATGGATGGAAGAACACATGTGAGATAACACAGTGTTTACTGCTTGCTATTAGCCCAGTGGGCTGTCTTTATGGAATATAATGTTTAAATCTATGCACCAGTGCACTTTCAAATAGAGAATTGGCTTCCTATTTTCACTTAAAACTCTCTTTTTATTTTAATTAATGAAAAAGCAGCTTAATCATCCATCTTTACAGCTAAGGAAGTTTTACAGGCTTATAATACTGTCAGATTCTGGGCTATATAAATGAGAAATAGACACTTTTGGGGAAGAAATTGGCCTTCCTTCCTTCCTTCCTTCCTTCCTTCCTTCCTTCCTTCCTTCCTCTCTCCCTTCCTCCCTTCCTCCTTTCCTCCTTGTTCCTCCTTTTTCCTCCTTTTTCCTCCTTTCCTCCTTTCTTCCCTTCCTCCCTTCCCTTCCCTTCCCTTTGCCTCCCTCCCTTCCCTCCCTCCCTCCCTTCCCTCCCTCCCTCCCTCCCTCCCTCCCTCCCTCCCTCCTTCCTTCCTTCCTTCCTTCCTTCCTTCCTTCCTTCCTTCCTTCCTTCCTTCCTCTCCTTCTTTCCTTTCCACTCCTCCCCCCTTTCCCCCCACTCTCTCTTTCTTCCTATGAAGAGACTGTTCTACAAGCTAGGAAGTTTCATTGATGGTGTGTGATTTCACAAGCTGGATTTTATTTCAGAACACCTGTCAAATTCAGAGCTGTCTGAAGCTTCTCCAACATCATTACCCCAGGGCTCCCAGTTCTGTGCATATGTTTTTATAATGGCAAGTAAAAGAATTCATATACACATTTGTGCGTTAGAATCAGTGGTGTGCTGGTGTAACAATCAGCTCTTAGAGGGTGAGGCAGGGTGGGTAGAGGATGTTTAGAAAAAGTGGATATGGAGAAGTCCCTGAATTCTAGTGTTAGCCAAATTCTGTGATGTAAATACTCCCATTACAGTCAATTTCAAGGTTATTTTTCCCCACTACATTTCATCAGGGCTGTACAAGATGTTACAAGGAAGAAAATGACAGGAACCCGTGTCGTTCAACTGATACTCACTCAGGAGCTGAGATAGCATTTCATTTATGCAATTCAAATAGCTATTGAGTTGGATACCTTAGTATTGTTTCTTCCAAGAAATATTTTCATTCTTTCATAAAGGGATAATAATAGACATGCATGACCTAATTTAGGAGATATCATTTTTTTATTTTATCACTCATTATTAATGCTTCATACAAAAACTAGATTTATGAAAAGACCCATAGATTTTACATCTATTATATCATCTCCTGTTGGTTTGTAAATGAAATGTTTGTTTTGCTAATATGTTTTTGTGATTAAGAAATGGAAGCAGCAGGCTATTAAAAGTTTTTCTCAAGGCAATAAAGTGTTAGACTAGAAATTTTCAAATTAAAACGTAGTCATTTCTTAGGCCTGTTCATAGATTATTCAAAAATGAGTTAAAGCACAGGTTGAAAATATTTTTATGGGCCACAGGATAATTTAAGTGATTGCTTTCCAGGCACTTTTCTTTTGGAAAACATATATTAGCTATTGTATTTAACTTTGTTAACTTTAAAACAAAAATCCAGATAAAAAAGTTTCACAATCTGCCAAGGAGTGGTGCCCAGTTAATAGGTGGTTGGTTCTGCATCTTACATTTTGTTACTTATAAGTTCTATGAAGAAAAGAGTCCCTCTTCTTCCCAGTTCGCTGTCAAAATTTCATTCTCTACATCATGAAGACTACATATAGAAGACACTAAAAATTTTTTTAAATATATGACTGGAGCAATTAATTTAAGTAAGACAACAAAGTCAAGTCTATGCATTATTTCTGTAATATTGTTTAAGTATAATTGCTTATTAAGTAGGTAGGATGGTAAGTGGCTTAAAAATTTCTCTATAGACAAAAAAAATAATTTGAAGTAGTTCATCTTCAAAATAAAGGCCTCCAGATGGCCAAATACCTTTCATGTACATGCATCAATCAGACGGTGCCAGAAGATAATAAAAAGAATCCTATTGTTTTAATTATCTCTTTTGTTCTCCAAGGAACCCCTATTCCTGCCAGTTCTTACAGATGTTATTAAGGCATTCAGTTTTTCATTCATTTATTTAAAAAATATTTATTGTGCCAGGCACTATTTAAATGGTGGTGATACCAAAGTGAATGAGACATATACAAGGGGCCCTAGTTCTCAAGGAGCTCACATTCATGAGAAATTAAGTTCACACATTCAGGATATACCAGATATTAATAAATATTACTCAGATCATTAAAGTAGAATGAGGCCAGGCACAGAGGCTCATGCCTGTAATCCTAGTGCCTTTTAGAGGCTAAAATGGGAGGATAGCTTGAGCCCAGGAGTTCCAGGATGCAGTGAGCTATGATCATCCCACTGCACTCCAGCCTGGGTGATAGAGTGAGACCTTGTCTCTAAACAAACAAACAAAAAGTAGAAAGATTTCACCTGAGAATAACTAGATGGCTATTTCAGATCAGATATTCATGAATTAAATAACACTTAAAGTGAGATCTGAATGACAGAAAGAAAAGCCATGCAAAAATCAAGGGGTGGGGGGTGCAGATTTCACAGACGGCAAATACCTAGTGTGGTGACGCTAAAGTCAGCATGAACCTATTTCTGTTTCTTGAACAGACCACAGGCTGGAGAAGAAAAGGTAGGAAGAAGGCTGGTATAAGATGAGGGTGAAGAGAGAACCAAGGCCAGATCATGGGAGCTTTATAGCCAGGCTAAGGGGTTTACATTTAATTCTAAATATAACAGAATACATTGGAGAAGACTACGCTGAGGAATAATGTGACTTGACATAAATTTTTAAAAGACTATCTAATTGCGTATGGAAAATGGATTGCATGGGACAAGGATGGAAACCAGTCGGGAGATGAGTTAGAAGATTATTATAGGAGTCCTGGTGGGAAGTGCTGGCAACTGGTGGAGGGTGGTGGTAGTGAAGATGCAAAGGAGATTCTGAGCTTGTTTTGGAGGTAGAGGAGGCAAGATTTGTTGAAGAACTGGCTTAGCAGGATGGGCACAAAGGAAATACAGAATTAAAAGATAATGCCAAAGGTTCCAACCTGAGCAACTAAGTAGAGGCTGGCATTTACCAAGGCGGGTGAGATTGAGAGAAGAGGAGTATGGGTAGGCAAGATTACTTGTTATTTTTTAGCCATGTTTACATTTTTTGAGATATCTTTTGAGTATCTGAGAAGAAATTTCAAGTGGGAAGTTTGTTGAACAAGTTTTTGGTTCATGGGAGAAATTATGACACAGATGCAATTTTGTGAGCCTGTAACACAGAGTTAGTATTTAGAGCTAAGGGTCTATATGAAATCAACTAAATAGTACTTATAGATAGGAAAGAGAAGGACAGAGCCCAGGGGTACTCTTCCATCTACAGGTTAGCATAAAAAAGAAATCAAAAGAAACTGAAAAGGATCAAAAGTGAAGTAGAAGAAAATCAAATAGCCATGCAGGAGTGATTGTTGAGATGTTTTGAAAAAGAGAAGGTTGGCAGTCATTTAGGAAGGTGAGGAATCAAACACAATACAGATGAGGGTGGTGTAGGGAGATCATTCTCTAGGTGTCCTTTGCATTTTTGCTCATCTTATAATCAGAGTCACTGACTGTCTTGGTGCAGGAGTTGGGAGATACAGTGGCCCGTTCCAGAGCAAAGGCAGGTTCAGTTGCTCTTCAGGATAATGAAGATAATGTCTCCCACTGAGGCAAAGATCAGAGAGCTTACTGGCCATTATAAAATATTCAGGTTCCTTAAGTGCATGGTTCCTCTCCCATAATACAAACCTCTTGCATGTACTGTTGTCACCTGGCCCTTTTCATATCACCTGGTGAGAAGTGGGACCCAGAGAACCTACACAAATGCAAACACTCCAACCACTGCTATTGTCATATAGCCCTTGGTCTCTGACCCAGTCTCATGTCCCAGCTAACATCCATGAAACAGTGGCAGGTGAACTTTGAAAATAGGATAGGCTAAAATCTCAGATCCTTCACTACTCTTCACAGATAGTAGGCCATTGTGATGGTCCACTTGAACTCTGTAGTTGTGGTGGCATATCTTTCTGTACATACATCTGGCATATCTTTCAGTTGGTTTGATGCAAGCATGGTACAGGTAGACGGGTTTATGTTTTAGACATTTAATAAGAATGCCTTAATGCATGATCATAGAACTTCTTTCTTCACTGACAATGGCCCCCTTAATAGATCTGCAGGTTCCTTAAGTGCATGGTTCCTCTCCCATAATACAAACCTCTTGCATGTACTGTTGTCACCTGGCCCTTTTCATATCACCTGTTGAGAAGTGGGACCCAGAGAACCTACACAAATGCAAACACTCTAACCACTGCTATTGTCATATAGCCCTTGGTGCAGATCCAGGAAGACCAGTGTTTGAACATTGTGGGGTAAAGTGCCGATAGGTAAGTCAGCATATTTAGGTATTTCTAAGAGGTTCTAAAATGATGAATACTTTCCTCAATCATTTGTCACAACCAAAGTCTATATTCTTATGCTTAGATGTCATAATTCATATTAAAGAATTGGGCCTGATGTGACACCTTATTATTAATAGTACTTGGCTAACCACACACAATCAACTACACTTAATTAATGAAACTGGTTCTGAATACATTATATACTTTCAGGTTATATAAGGAGGTAATTACATTTTACAGAGGCCTGTACTTTATATCTGGTTTATTCAGTTGTGAATCAATGAACATGTTTTTTTTTTTAAACATGATTTGTATGATGAATTTTTAATTAAATTGTAGGAAGCTCCTCTACCACTGAGTCACCAGTGTCTTCTTGTATAATATACAGACATTATGGCCTGGCATGGTGGCTCACGTCTATAATCCCAGCACTTTAGGAGGCCGAGGTGGGTGGATCACTTGAGGTCAGGAGTTCAAGACCAGCCTGGCCAACATGGCGAAACCCTGACTCTACTAAAAACACAAAAATTAGTCAGGTCTGGTGATTCACGTCTGTAGTCCCAGCTACTTGGGAGGTTGAGGCAGGAGAATCGCTTGAACACGGGAGGCCGAAGTGCAATGAGCCGAGATTGTACCACTGTACTCCAGCCTGGGTGACAGAGTGAGACCTCATCTCAAAAGAAAAAAAAAAAAAAAAGACATTAGCCCTCTGGAGCAGTTAAGTAGATATTTTTCTATAAAGTAATTTAATGTAGATTATATTTTCTCTGTGTGAGTGCACAATTGCATGCATATGTCAAGTGTCATGGGATTCCAAGTATTTGATGATCTGCTTCTTCTATAGACAGTTGGATACATAAAAGAAGAGCCATGTGCAAATCCAGTCTCTGGTTCTAGGTTTATACCTCCTCTTCTCCAACTCCGCTTTCATTGATAGCCCCTGGTGCACACAGCCAGCCACCCTCATCCCTCGAGATCTGGTTGGCTTCTCTCTATTTGGGTTCCAGGAAATTGTTTTTCCTCCCTTCTGAGAGTCTATGTGCTGCTGCAGGCCAGTCAGTATTGATTCAGTTCTGGTTTGAATCCTCTCTCACTCATTCCTAAGTGTATATTGTATATGTAGTTCTTCTGCCAAAAGGAGATTGAAGTCTTCTTAAATTTGCAAGTCACCTAAAATATATGCTGTGTCTGCTGGGATCCTTTTGACGTTGAAGCGTCTTGGAGTAGACAGTAGAGGATTTTCATATGGTAGAAGAATGTTAGGTGTCCTTGTTGGAGAAGAGAGGAGGAGTAGAGAACCCCTTTAAAGCCCTCTTACTGCCTATTCCTTGTATCTCGTCTCTACCTATTTAGCAATCACATCTGACTTGGCAAACACTAACAGCAGTTACACAGCGTCAGTGAGGACAATAGTGAGTGGATTTAAACATCAGAGGCAACATACCAATGCAATAAATAGAATATATCATTGTTTCACTGCAGACAGAATGTCTGTGCTCTCTATGAGGATCTGCATTTAAGCCCAACGTCCAAGGAAGACAAACATCTAAAGCTCAGCATGGGGTCCCTCAAGCAGGGGAATACAAACAAAGCATTTTTCTCCCAAAACACAAGTTTTAAGATTTCATGTCAAAGACATGCTGCCAATCAGAAGATAGCATTCCCCCTTCTTAGAGCTGGAAATGGTAACCAGGACACATTGGTATGCACAATTCTGCTGGCTCAGAGCACAAGCAAGCTCCTAGGCTGTGACTGGCTGGAGGCTCACAGCGATTTCTTTCTTTTTTTTTTTTCTTTTTTTTCTGGAGGGGACAGGGTCTCACTCTGTCACCCAGACTGGAGTGCAGTGGCGCAATCTTGGCTCACTGCAACCTCAGCTTCCCAGGTTCAAGCAATTATCCTGCCTCAGCCTCCCAAGTAGCTGAGTTTACAGGCACCCACCACCAAGCCCAGCTAACTTTCTTGGGTTTTTTTTTTTTTTTTTTTTTTTTAGTAGAAATAGGGTTTCATCATATTGGCCAGGCTGTTTTCCATGTTTTCGAACACCTCAAGTAATCCATCCACCTCCGCCTCCCAAAGTGCTAGGATTATAGGCCTGAACCACGATGCCCAGTCAGGTCATAGCAATTTTTAATGCAATATAATCAGACCTAATTTTGCCTTTTTGATTTCCTCCCTTAAACCTCAGACAGGCACTTTTTCAAAAGGGAAATCAATCAATCAATCAATCAAGCAATCAGTCAGTCAACAGTGAGTGAATGACTAAATTGTTTGTCTTTAGCGTGGCATAAAATAATCCTTAATATTTTGACCTCAAGCAACCATTCTGACCATATCTTCTTCCATGCTCCTTTGAGTACCCAGGTACATGCAAAGAGTCAACTTTTCTAGATCACAGCCTTGTCCTCTAATTCAGTGCCCTGGTATGAAATCTTTCTTCTGCTATGTCCTTTTTTTGCCAGATGAAATTTCAGTCTTTATTCAAGATCAAGTGCAACTGTCTCTTTGAGGAAAGTCCTTTGACCCCCATTTCTCCCCTTCAGAAGGAAAGCACCTGTGGGAGAAGATCTGTTTAATGACCTAGTAACTCAATGGGAGCGAGAACCACGTAGCCATCCCTTCTCCTTGCACAGTCATGAAACAAAGTTGAAAAGGAGCCTGGTTTTACTTGACCAGTCATAAATTACCATAAAATAAAATGAGATATTAGAAACCTTTGATCTCTGAAAAAGTAACATGTGTTGAAAAGAAATATCACTGTTACATATAGACAAATAATAGAAATATTTGAGGCATGCATTTAAAATGCAGAGGCCAGTTATAGCAGGCATATTAACATGTGCATTTGCTTTTTAAGAAGTATACATATGTACCTTTAGCTTTGAAAGGGTAAGATTCAATGCTTGGGTGATGGATGCACTAAAATCTCAGAAATCACCACTAAAGGACTTATCCATGTAACCAGAAACAACCTGTACTCCAAAATCGATGAAATAAAGAATAAAATAAAAGGGTAAGATTCATAAATAGCAAGTTGAGAATGCATGTTTATACCATGTAGACAATGTATAATAAATTGTTGGCAATAAGAACCATGTAGCTGACTTTGGGGATACAAAGTGACTTCTGAAAGAGGTTCCTAATTAGCCCTGCCTGAGGTGACTGCTTAAGGTATTTATCTGTAGCTGGAATGCATTGCTTCAAGGGCTTGAGAATTCAGGAGCTATGAATTTCAAGGCCACAGATGCAGTGGAATAGTAAGGCTTCTGCCCCTGCCTGGCACACTGACCTAACTGATGAGAGGTGCCTTAGGGACCCAGGAGCTATGGCCATTTATGTCTAGTCCCTCACTCTAGAAAGGAATTGCTTGAATACTACAGTGCTGGAGTTTGTAGCCACAATGCTGAAGGTCAGGGCAGTCCTTCATGATGATGCATTTCTGTCAGCCATACTTGCACATCTATTTAATATGTGCAATGTCACTAAGCAGTAGTGTATCATTTTTTTAAATGTTGAGACTCAACTGATACTCAAAACCTATGAAAATATGAATCCTTCCTGCCTATCCAACTTTAGTTGGATAAATAATCCAATAATATAATAATATACATTATTATATATATATTATTATTATTATATATATAATATAAACTCTCCCTTTCAGTCAGGTAGATAGTCCTCCTGTCTTCCTGTCATTCTTGGTTTCTCTTTGTTGCTCATGTCTTCCCCACCTGCTGAAATGTTCTTGTTCTTCTCCTTCTCCTTCTCCTTCTCCTCCTTCTTCTCCTTCCCTCACTCTGTTGCCCATCCTGGAGTGCAGTGGCATAATCACAACTCACTGCCGTCTCAAGCTCCTGGATCAAGTGATCATCCTTCCTCAGCCTCCTGAGTACCTGGGACTACAGGCATGTACCACCACATCCAGCTGATTTCTTCATGTTTTTGTAGAGACTGGTTCTTGCTATGCTGCCCAAGCTGGTCTTGAACTCCTGGGCTCAAATGATCTTCCCACTTCAGCCTCCAAAAGTGCAGGGATTACATACATGAGCCACCCATGTACCTGGTTTCCCTCTTCTTTTCTAACAAATTAAGTACTTCAAGTCACAACTCAGGCTGACAACTTCCACCTCCATTGACTTCTCCAGAGCATTTCATTTTCTCTTATCCTTTCTCTGCACTTTGTTAGAACTTACATTCTGATTTGTACTGTTGACCTTTGAGCCCTTAAGTTTATGCACCTTCTCTCTCTCTCTCTCTCTCTCTCTTTTTCTCTGTCATTATTTTATTCTGGTATTTGGTACTTACGATAAATCTTATTAGTATCCTAAATTCTTTCAAAACAGGAAATGCGTATTTTCCTTCTCATCTAATTTTTAGGAAACTTCACATAGGAATAAAAAGTATGTAGTAGTGGATTGACTGGTAAATGAATAAAAGAGGGATTTGAGGCCAGTGGGCTGTTTCAGGACATGACCAAGGAATGTGGTACCAGGGCAGCAACACACTTGCTAAGGGGCAATAAAGTAGTCATTGTATATAACAGAGGAATTTGGGCTCAATGCAGATTTGGCACTAACTCTTTGGCACTATAGAATTCACTAGAGAAATATTAGTAAGTTAGTTAATATTCTTAATAAAGAACTGCTAATACCTTATAGAGCCATAAGCCATGTTTCTCATCTTTCATTTCTGAAGTGAAATTTTGGCCAGGGAAACATTTTGCAATAGCCCTTTTTGATGTCTACAAATGTGGCATTTGTCAGATATGAGATAGCTAAGTGTGTGTGTGTACGTGTGTGTGTGTGTATATATATATATACACTTTATATATGTATATATACATATCCTATGTGTGTATGTGTATATATATACACACACATATATATATGATGCATGGAGAGATGCATCCAAAATATTCACAACTTTTCACTAATATCTGAATAACATTTGAAAAATTGACAACTCTTCTGGCTAAAGATGATCATACACATTTGTTCCATGGAGACTTGTGCCAAAATCTTGCTCAGCTCAAGGGATACTGCACAATAAACAATAAGAAACTTTTATAACTCTGACTAATAGAATTCATTGCTTTTCCAGTTTGAAGATAAAGGATGTCTGCTTGCTTTCCATGCCTAATTTTCCTGATGCTGTAAAGCTGTTCAGGAAAGTTCCCACTGCTGGAGTTTTGCTAGTAATCTTCAGCTCTGTGGGAAGCCTTTGGACTCTGTTGCTATCCCTGAAAGTGGCTGTTCTTCTCCATCAGTTTCCTGGGCAAGGGATCGAACCAGCTATTAGTGTCTATTTGCACTGCATGAAAACAAAATTTAATGTAAAGATGCTTATAGCTTGCCTACCCTAAAACCCCAGGAGTCTCTTCTGCCTGACCCTAGGCATTTTTTGAACTGATAGAGGGATGGGTATCTGGTGGGTCTCTTCAGC